GAGAGAGAGAGAGAGAGAGAGAGCGTGAGAGAGAGAGAGAGAGAGAGAGAGAGTGTGTATGCTTTATGCATAAAAATAAGCTCACAGTCTTTCCAAATCTTACTTTGAATTTATTATTTATTTATTTTTTTTTACTAAATCTTTAAAAATATATTTTTTCGGTACTTCAAGCTTTTCAGATTTTTGCATCCGTTATACAAGTGGAACTCACTGCAGAGTCAACTGTCTCCCAGCTCCACCTCTCTGGACGTCTAATGGGGTGGAGGGATGAAGTTGTGGGTAGGGTTAGATATTCTAGCTCCACCCATTAGACATAAATTACATTCGCTCCTCCTCGCTGGATGTCTAGCGAGGGGGAGCTACACGTTATCAGTTCTTTTCTATAACATGAAAATAATTATCAGCTTGTTAGTTTTGGCCAGAATTTGAATACGAGTGCAGCCGGTGACACTGAGAAGCAGTCTATCCGCTTGTCCCTTTAAAGATTTGTATGACAAAAAATAATAATATAAAAAATTGCAGCGCTGTAGTTGACGGTGTATCTGCAGAGGGTGCTGTCGCTCTACTATCACTTCACATGTTCAGTTTGACACCTGCTGTCACACATCCTACAGCTTCATGACCAGTGGTGGAAAGAGTACTGAAAAAATATACTCAAGTAAATGACACATGCCATTATTTGTGAAAATGAAAATCGAGAATTGTCTCATCATTATTACGTTCATTTGGAGAACACTAAAGATAAGGGTAACAATTAACAAAGCCTTGCAGTAACTAGTTCAAACATAGAGTCTCTGTAAATCTTTTTTTTTTTTTTTTTTTTTTTTTAATAACATGCATTTTACATTATCATGGATGTTTTTATTTTAACCCTTAAACTTGAGGAGAAGTAAAAGTCATCGGTTAAACTTTGTTTCAATAGTCCACTGCTAACTATAAGTAACTTTGCAGCTACATGTCAATTAACTCTCATTAGAGTATTAGTAGAGTGTTAGGTTAGGGTTAGTAGAATAAAGCTGACATGAACTTGCGAAGCTACTTATAGTCAGTAGAATGTCTGTTTATGGACCATCAAAATAAAGTGTTAGTAGTCTACTAACACTTTAATGACTGGTAGTTGGCATGTTGCAAAGTTACTTATAGTTAGTAGTTTCACAGTTTGTCACAAAAGTACAAGTGTAAGTAATGCACCATTTGATGAAACCTGTATCTCTCACCTTCAGGACTTCAGGAGAAAACTGTAGATCTTATCTGTTAAAACGAGCACAGAAAACTGAAAATTTTTAAGACCGATGACGCAATGCTTGTATTTTCTTAAAAAAAAAAAAAAAAGGATAATTTATGACATTTGTTGAGTGGAAAAAATAACTGTCTGTATGTATTTAATAACAGTCAATGCAATCATGCTTCAGCATTTTTTAGTCAGAAGTGTAGTACAGCTCTTGCTCAGATGTGGCTTTGCATTATGATTCCTATCTCTGTTTCTAGAAATGCTCCGTGCAGTTTCCTGTGTGATCAGTGCACTCTGCTGACTTTGCTCTTGGCCTAATAAATCTTAACATAACGCTTCATGTTGATTTATTTAATGTGAAACACCTCGTCATTTATCCCAAGCGATTATAATTACATTTAAAGATGATTAAA